GTCTAAAATTAAAGTTTTTTTTTACTTTTTCATCAATCTGTTTTTTTTTTTCATTTGAAATTCTCTTCAAAATTATCCTTCATGTTTTTTATCGGTTTTTTTTTCTTAATATTTCCTTCTTTCATTATTATATCTTTTTAGCCTTAACTTCAACACAGCAAGAATAAGTACAAAAAACTAAAATTTATAATTAAACTTCCATGACGGTGAAACGAAAAAATAAAGAATAGTTTGCTTTTAAGTTCTAAAAAAAGCAATAATGCCTATCTATTCCGAATAAAATAAAACTCACCTCAAGTAGTTTAATTCATAAGTAAAATCCATTTATATCGTTTTGAGTTAAATATGCTTTTTTTAAAGAAAATGTATTATCTTTTATAAGACTTTTTTTGTTTGTTTTATTCTCTTTTTTAGTCTTTCAATTTTTTCTCTTGTAATTTCTGCAAATCTTTTACTATTTTCCATTATAACAATTGTATATAGATCTAATATCAATATTTCAGCTATATAATCCTTCATCACAAACGTCATTGATATAACTATTATCATTTTCATCTTCTGGCATATTTTCTTACCTTCAATTGTCATTACTTTTCGTTGATAATTATTACTAAATCTATATATAGAACTATTAATATTTTCAGCTTCTTTTTCTTTCAAACAATTCTTTTCTTCGTTTGTTTTTTTTCTGTTAGTTAGGCACTGATTTTATTTGCATCTCAATTATTTATTATTATCTTTTTCTTTCAATTTTAATGATTTTACTTTCCTCTTTTCCTTCATCTGAATTTTTCATACATTTTTCTAATCTGACTTACAATGTTTATCATTTCTTTCTGGTATTTGTTTCTTGTTACCATGAAACTCTCTTCTGAGTAAAATGCATATTCTTATTAAAGAATTAACAAAAGGTATAGTTAATTAAAGATATATTTATTACCATTGAACAAATGACAATTTTTATATTCATTAAAACCTTTACCATAAACTTGTTTTTATTACCCAAACTTAGTTAGTTTTAGTGACAAAAAAAATTCTTTTCATTATGGGACAATACTACATTTACAAATGACTAGAAGTCATTGTCTATTGCATTTTATTTTTCTACTTCAGATTTGAGGTATGAAAATGACCAGTTAGTACAACTTTGCTTATTGCTGTCATTATTTATTGATTACATTTGATCATTGTCGTTCCATTTAAACATATTCTAATGGTTATACAATCTATTTCTACTTTATTTTCTCTTCTTTATTATTAATTTCTTTATTATTTATTATACCTTCTACAACTCGAAGATGGCACGTCTGAAACACCTCACACAAGCTAAAATATTTCCATGCTTTGAATCTCCCAGTTATCATCTGGTTATGATGCATTTTTTGGTGAGATAGTATCTCTTCAAGATTTATTGTCTTTAACTTATTAAGATTTATTATGAATGATTATAAAGGATGTACTGTTCGTTAAGAATAATTCTATATAATTGTTAATATTAAATTTGAGATGAATATAAGGGTATTATCAATAAAGAAATATAATTTAAATGGTAATGAGGATAAATGAGATGAAACATAATTATAATAATATGGATATACTCTCCTTAAAACAATAATACAAAGAATGATGAATAATTTAATAAACATTAAAATCAAAATGAAATAACAAGTTAAAAAGAAGAAACATGTACATTGATAATGGTTGAAAAACATTAATTTAAATAAATAAGGTATGTTGAAGAAACTGATTGACTTACTCCTCAGTATGATGACATGATGAAAATCAAACTATTAGGTTAATCATAATTGATTTATTTTTTATTATATCTTCGACTAAAAAATGTTTATAATACAAGAAATTGAAATTAAAGTAAATGATATTAATGAATATAAAGAAGTAATAAAGAAGACATTTAAAATAAGGAATGAAATTAAAAGAGAAATAAACAGAATAATGGAGGAAGAAATAACAAATTATCAACGGAAAGATAATGAATTAAAAGAAATAATATCCAAAATGAACAAGAATAAGAAAGAAGAAATAGAAGAAGAGGAGGTAACGAAAATAATTAAAGAAGAAGAAATGAAACAACAAGAAGATGTACAATTTATTAATTATTATTACAATAAGAAGAAAATACATCAAATAAGAAAAATGGCAACGAAAAAAAGTAAATAAGAAAAAAAAAGAAGAGAAAGATATATAATAATAAGAAAGTATGAAGTAGAATAATAAAGAATAAAAGTAGAAAATAGAGAATATAAGAAGAAAGAACATAAAAATAATAAAATAGAATAGATAATAAAAGAAGAAAAGAAGAAATAAATGGTGTATTTTTATTGTAAAAATTAGAAATATTCAATAAAAGTGTCTAATCTAATGATGTAAAATAATTGGTATTGTTTTATTGATGAAAAATATTTTATTCTTTTTATGTTTATTATTTATATGTATAATTTCATTATGATGTTTATTATATATTCAATCATAAGTGTTATATTATTATAACATATAATAAGTGATAAAATATAAATGAAAATGATATGAATATATGATATAGAATATAAAACAAAAGAATAATAAGAATAAATGATAAATAAATATAGAAATGATAATCAATGATATAATAATAAATTCAAAGTATAAAATATAAATTTAATATAAAACAAAAGAGAATAAATATAAATTGAAATTATATATAAATGATAATAATATAAAAGATGAATAAACAAATAAACAAATACAACTAAATAGAAAAGAATATAAATAAGAAAATCTAAATAATATAAACATAAAAATAATAAAATAAGAATAATATAATAATATATAGATATACAGAGAAATATAAAAATATATAAAAATAATTTACATAAATAACATAATAAATAACATAATAATAAAAAATATAAATAAATATAATTCATTAAATAATCTATTTCATTAATATTTCATACAAAATGAATATAAATGATTATAAAATATAAACATAAATATTTATGGATTGTGTATTTACAAATTCTGTATTTATTTTTTATGAGCACAATATAATATAGTTGAATATTCTAATGATGCAAATTATTTTGCATTTTTTTCTCATTTTTTGTAAATTATTTAAATGTATTTTTTCTTTGCTAATTTTCGTTCTTGTATTGAAATGTCATTTATTAAAAACATCATTTATTTGAATTATATTATAAAATAATGAGACAATTATATAAAGATTATGATAAGAGATTGATAGTATTACATTATAAAAATGATAATATATTTTGGTGTTATTATTGTATTTAATGAATATAATACTATCACTTTCATCAACAAATGAAAATAAAAGTATTTATAATTTCATTAATAAAAGAAGTAGTGAATATCATTGAATAATTAAAATAAATTTAATACAATTCTTTATTCTATTTATTTTCTTCATAAACAATGATAATGTTTAATTTAAATTATAATACAATGATAGTGTTAATAAATATGATATGAAACAATGATATTTGATAAAACAAAAAGAATAATACTTGTTTTATTTTCTATGTTATAGATTATTCATTTAAATATATATTATTTCAATGTCTATTTCATTTCTTATTATTTTGAATTAATTACAATATGTAATTGGATCAACTTGACATAATATTGATGATTGATATTTATTTATCATGTTTTGTTCAACACAAAAACAAAGTACTAAGAAACAATAATAGAATGCTTTCATGCATAATACAGAATGAAATTATATATGAAATAGTGGTGGTGATGAAGTTTAAAAGAAAAAATAAACGCATGGTATGAAAGAGAGAAAATGAAACAAAAAACAAAAGATAGAAAAACTAAAATCAAGGAATGAAAAATACACAATACACATAATAATAAAATAAAAGGTAAAATAAAAAGAAAAAACCAAATAATACTATGAAATACATGAATTTCTACTAAGAATGAATAAATAAAAAATAAAATAATTGAATTTTTAGATTAGTAGAAAAGAGTATTTATTTTTAAATTATTGAATTAAACAAAACATGAGAAATAAAAAGGAAATAGTTTAATTTCTATTAGCTCTCTGCTTATTTAATCCACTTCTTAATTTTGTCTATGTTGTTAACAAGTTCTTCAAACTCATAGTCTTTTAATGAAATTCCTTTTTGTCCTGGTTTTAATTCTCCATCTCTCTCATAAAACTCTCTCACATCAATATATTTTGTCCCTCTAAATTGATTAAGTCTAACATATTTTCTTTCTCCTAATTGTACATATTTGTCACCGTCAAATGGAAGTTTTAATTCTTCTTTTTTTTCTTTTTTAGCTTTTTTCTTACTTACCTTTTCTTCTTCTGATTCTTCACTACTACTATCTTCTTGCTCTTTTTTAGCTTTTTTCTTAATTCCCTTTTTGTCTTTGTGTATAACTTTCTTTTCTTCTGACTCTTCTTCTGTTTCTTCCTTTTTAGCTTTTTTCTTGTCTGTCTTTTCAACTTCTTTCTCTTCGTCTTGTGACTTATGTTTAGGTTTTTTATCTGACATTCTTCTAATTTCTATGTTTTTTGAGTTTATCTTTATTCTTTTATTATTTTTTTATTAATTTATTCTATTCTTCACTTCTTTTCATCAGTTGCTTGTACATTCTTGTTATTTGCCAAATAACAACAAAAAACTCCTCCTCACTCCCTCCTTCTTTTCATTATACTTCCCTTCATTCTAATATGCTATTCATTCTTTTATTTTTATTTAACACGTCTATATATTTGTGGTTATTTTAACTTAATGAATGAACAAATTAGTGGTAATCCAATAAACAAAGACAAATGTTGGTGGTGTTGAATATCATACAAAGAATAGAAGAATGAAAGATAGAAATAAGTAAATAAAAATTCTTTCATTTTTGATTAAATTTATTGAGTGAACCTTTTATTGAAATGAACGTAAAAATAAAACATGAAAGTCAAAGTTAAAATCATTGTGTTTTTTATCTAAAATACATGAATTAGTATCGTATTATGTATTTATGATTGTTTGAACTTCAGTATTGTCTTTTGTAATAACAACAAATTGTGTTGTTTTTAATAATTTCATAAAATATTGATTCAATTCACCCCCTTTTTTGACAATCCCTTCTTCCATCATAACCACTGAATTATCGTAAAATATTCCTACCACAAATTCAAGTGCTATTTGTCCATTTTTTCTTTTAATTGTTTGATGTTTAAAACTATATCCTAATTCTCCAAGTATATCTTCTAAAAGATGAATTGAATAAATAATTCTATTTCGTTTTAATCTTTCACTTGCTGTTGTTTCTTTAATATCATTCTTTCTATCTTCATTATACATACTTTTAATCATATTTTCAATGACTTCCCAAAATAATATTGTATCTGTTTCTTCAAATTCAATAAATTCAATACAAAGAAATGGCTTTGTCACTGTTGCTTTAACTGTTCTTCTTTTGAGTATAATTTTAGCATATCTATTAATTAATCCAATGAATATTGATTGAAGAGATACTTGATAATCAATTTTATCTTTGTAGTTCTTGAAATATGCTTTTTCTTTATGTTGGCTCATTCCTTTCTCAAAAAATTATTCTACTTCTTTTGAAAATTACTTTTTTTATTCCTTTCTATTTTCAAAATTTTCAACCAAAAAACTTAACTTCTCTTTTATTTTCTCTTTTATTCTTTTCTTCTCTTTAATGGTAGAACATATTCATATGCTTCTTCATTTCTTCAAAATATTTCTCATATCGTTTTAATTCCATTTCTACTCTCATCTCCCCTATTATTTCTACTTTCCCATCTTGATATATTTCAATGTTTACTATTCCATTTCTATTAACCTGACATTTAACTGTCATTTCAATTTTTGAATTATTTTCTGGTATTCCTTTAATAGTTACAGAATCAACAAATTCATCATTTTCTATATAAGAAGACATCCCTCTATAAATTGAATAAATCACAAATGTTTGATTTTTTTTCTCTGGAAGAAACTTCTTTATTGATGAATGAGGAAGTTTATCTCCAGCTTTGATAAAAGGGTCTAGTTTACCCCCTGATATCTCAAACCCAATATTAAACGGAACGGTTTCATATAAATTAAGATTTTTTATTTGAGTTTTATTTGAGGCTTTAAGTGCTGCTCCTCTGGCTACAGATGTTCTGCAATTAAATCTAGGATCTGCCAGTTTTGTTGAACTAAATAATTTTGATATTTTTTCTCTTACAAAAGGAATCATACAACTTCCACCAACAGGAATAACCAAATCAACGTTATTTTCATTAAATTTTGCTCGATTCAAAACATCATTAATACAATTAGTAAAGCATTTCATTATTTCTACCTCATCGCATCCTTTTTGAAATTCATCTTGACTAATACTAATATTATAGACTATTTCATTATCACTATCTATTAGATTTTCTAAATTTATATCAACATTGTCTTGCATTGATAATTCAATCTTAACTCTTTCAGATTCTTTTTTAAGAAGTGCCAATCTCTTACTTTTTATATTTGCTTGCTCTTTTGTATCTTTTTCGGTTCTCTCCCAATAATCTTCATTATCAACCACATATAGTTCAATCATTTTTTGTTTAATTATATCTGAAATAACTCTATCAAAATCGTTACCCCCTAAATTTTGATTTCCACCATTGGACAAAACTTTAATACCATCTTTTTGAATAACACAACAACACACATCTAATGTTCCTCCTCCAAAGTCTATAACAACAACTCTATTTCCTTCTTTAATGTGAAATTCATTTTGATACAAAAGAATGGTTGCAGAAGGTTCATTTATGATATTAACGTCTTTAACTCCTGCTAACCTAACTGCCCTTTCAGTTGCAAGTCTTTGACTGTCACTGAAATTAACAGGTACTGTAACAACAACGCCTTCTATTATTGGGTTGCTTTGAGTTCCTTTTACAATATCCATCAATTTCCTTACTAAAAAACCAGAAACTTCTTCAGCAACAAAGACTTCATTCTCTTCAGTCAATGGGTTATAAATCGAAAGTGCTGACATTCCATACTTTTCAACAACTTCAAAAGACCATAGTCTTTTTTCCCAATCCATAATCTCATCAACTTTTCTACCAACTAATCTTTTAGAGTCATATCCCACACAATGAGAGTGAATATTATTCTTTGCAGCTTCTCCTATAATAACTCCTAAACCATTCTTAACATTTGAAAGAGAAATCCATGAAGGTAAATAGTCTTCATTATTCATTAGAAGTATTTTTGGTTCATTACCATCTTCAATACAAGCAACATAACAACAAGTAGTTCCTAAATCAATTCCAACACTAACTATTTTTTGAGAAGACATTATTAAATGAAATTTATCTTAATTTTTTTAGCAGATGTTTCACTTTTATTAAAAAAACTGAGACATCATTCTTTAAAAAATTAATAATTTAAAACTCTGATAAAAAAATTAAAAAATTAAAAATTGTCAAAACGAAAAATAGTTTTTAGTTATTGATGGAAAGTCTCAATCTCTGTGAGTTCTTCTCTAAAGTTGGATCTTGTCGTCATGGAAATATTTGCGAGAAAGTTCATATCACCCCTCATTCAAGCGTAACCATTTTATTGCCACATGTTTGGCCAGCACAACAAGTAATCACACCTCAAGACCAAGAACAATATGAACACTTTTTTTTTGACCTATACACTCTCTGTTCAGGGTTTGGCAAGGTTGTTGATATGATTGTTTCAGAGAATCAAGCCTCTCATCTTAAAGGAAATGTTTTAGTTAAATTTGCTACTGAAGCTATGGCTGAAGAAGCAATAAAACATCTTCAAGGTCAGTTGTTTGGTTCGGTAGTATTAAACCCAAGTTATGTTGGAATTATTGACTTAAAAGAGTCAAGATGTAAACAACATGATATGGGTGTTTGTCCTAAACACAGTGGATGTAATTATCTTCATGTTTTACCAATTCCCAATCAATTTGCTTCACTTGAAAGTTATGGATATCCATCTACTTTAGTTAAAAGAGAAAAACGTCTTTCTTGGGAAATGCCTCAATCACAACAAGAAAAAAATGATGAAAAACCTCGCCGAAGAGGCAGAAATAGAGAAAGAAGAAGAAGAGACAATGCCAGAGAATATAATCAAGAAAGGACGCCTATTGACTTAGAGTTTCAAAGAATGGATTATCAAGAACAATGTTCATTAATTGGAACTTATCCACCACCTAATGTTCCAACATACACAGATATTTATAAAATGCCATAATAAATATTTTATTCTAGCAATTTCAATAATTTTAAAAAAAAAATGTTAAGATTTAATAATAAGATTTTTTATTAATTTTAAAACAAAAAGAAAAAAGAAGGGTTTTTCAAGAAATTTGACAAAAATTAATCTTCAATGATTATTTAATTAGTAATAAAAAAGATTTAAAGAAAGAAATAGGATAGATAAATTAGAAATATTAATAAAATGAGAAAGGGTAAATATTGATAACAAATAATGAATGAAAGATGAAATGATAAGGGGAAGAAAATGTAATAAATATTAACAAAAAAAAAATTAAAAAGAACTTCATAATATAGTAGAATGTCTCAAAATCAAATATATACTCCATTAACGCTACTATCAGATGAATCAGGAGATCTTGTACAAGGTGTTATTTATATATGGAATTTTATTAATGAGTTTAAAAAAGAAATTGAGATAGAAGATTCGTCATTTAAATCACTTGTAACAGCATTATATTATGAAGATATTTTAAAAGAAGATTGGACAACAATAAAGTTATATCAGTTTTTAATTCCTATAATATTTCATTATCAAGAAATGTATTGGTTTGAAAGAATGGATATGCCAATTAATAAAGTTACTATACCAGGATTGTTATGTATTATATTAGAAAAAGAAGGATCAACATTTTCATTAAATGCAATGGAATATATTAAATATTCTTATTTATCTTATATGATACAACCAAGAGTTAAAGTGTCAGTTATTGTTAAATTAATTCAAATATTTTTAAATACAAATATTGGTAAAGAAATAGTTAAACATAAATGTCAAACAAAAATTATAGGAATTGATAGAATGTGTAGATATTTTATGTGTATTAATAATTGTCTTATTATTGAAACAAGTGAGTTAAATTGGATGTTAGTTGATACTGAATTTAAAATGAATAATTTAATTCAATTTTATGGACAAAGTAAGAATTTAAGAGAAATAGAATTAAGTAAACATTTAATAAAAATTAAAGATAGTTTACATTTAGAACAAAGTCTTTATCAAGAATTTGGTATTAGAACTTCTATGATTGAAGAGAATCAATGTAAATCAATTGATTATAAAAGTTATTCAAATCCAACTAATTTATTAACTTCAGAATCAATTACAGTAAAAGAAATAACAATTCAATTAATTCAAGAAGTTAGAGGTTTCTTAGAAACATTAAAAAATAGTCTTGAAAAAAGACAAAAAAGAATTAAAGGAAGTTTAAATATTATTAATATTATTAGTGGATTAAAATTTATTCCTTCAAAAAATATAAATAGTTTACTTCCATTTCTTAATACAACTCATTCAATGCTGTTGAAAATTATTCAAAAATTACCAATTTGTTATCAAGATGAGTTGTATTATAAAAAAATTATTCAATGTGTTAATAAAAAATCATTAACGTATGCTACAGTATCAACAACTCAAGTTTTGTTTTATATGATTCAAAGGGTTGTTGATTTTAAACATGTTACAACACGGTTAGACCAATCTTCATATGAAGATATTAGTTTTTCTGACTTTGATTATGAACTTGAAGACTCTTCTCAAGAACCAATAGAATCGCTTACTAATATTGTTAATTCTGAAGAAAATAAAAAACCAACAACAAAATCTACTAAGACTAAAAAGGATAATAAAATGGAAGAAGAAAATGTTGGAGCTGTTATAATTGAAGATGGTATAAGTGAAGAAAGTGATACTTTATTACAAGAATATGAAATTGATGATAGTGATGAAGGAGAAGATGATGATGATAATGAACAAGAAGAAGATGGTGATGATGATACTGAAGATGAAATTAGTGATGATACTTCTAGTGAATTAATTGGAAAAGGAAAAAAAGTTGTAAAAAGACTAAAAAGAAAAAATCAACGAGAAAGTAGTGATAGTTCTTCATCCTCATATTAATTTGAAGGTGATATAATAATATTTCAATAGCAAAAACAAAGACAAAAAAAAAGAATTAAATTGTATCAATTTATTGTTTTGAATGATTATTAAAATTTTATTTTGTTTGATTAAATTTATCGTATAATTGATGGGCTGTTCCAATAGAAATCATGATACTAGCTTTAGAATAATATAAATCATCTAATTCAATATTTTGAATAATTGTATCAAGTAGAATTGCTTTTCCAATTGAATTATTTCTAGCTAATGTAGGAAAATTAATACTTGTAAAATGGACATGAAAATGCCAAAAAGATGGATGATAATGACAATAAATAACAATTTCTTCTTCTTTTAAACCAGTTATTGAATTTATATATTTTAATACTTCAAAGCGCATCCTCTTTAATAAAGGAAGATGACATTGACGTAAAGATCTAATAGAAAGAATAGATGGATCTTTAGAAAAACAAATACCATAAAATAAATTCATATCTTTCATATTCCATTTTACATCAGGAACTAAAAAGAATCCATCACCTTTAAGTAAAGGTTTAGTGATATCATTTGAATAGTCATTAATCCATTGTAAAGTTGAAGAAGGAATAGTGGAAATATAAGGAAGAGTATATTGTTGATATAATTCAGGTGTTTCTAAAAACAATTCATATTGTTGTTTTTTATATTTATTAATTTCTTGAATATTTTGTGGTTTCATTACATTAATTTCATAACTTGTTTGTTGGTTATTTAATTTTATTAATTTATTATATTTAATTGAACTTATAGTTTGTGTAATAATATCTTTATTTGGTTCTTTTTTAATTAATTGAATTAATTCATTTGCTTCATCAATTCCAATTTGTGATTTAACAATACAAAATATACTTTTTTCATCTTTAAGAAGAGTAATTCCTTTAGAGTCTTTGAGGTCATTTAATACAATTATATTTTCAGTCATTATAAAACAAATAAGTTGATATGAAATTAAAAATTCTCATTAAAAAGTCCTCCATGGGTTTTTTACAATTCAAAAAGAAAAAAGAATTTTACAATTTTATATTTTAATAATTAGTTTTTATATAAAACAAGTTTTTCTTTATATTAAGAACTTGATTATTTATTTATTATTTAAATTCCTCTTTTATTAATTTAATGAATAATTTCACATTTTATAATCCAGTTCGATTGATTTATGGAAAAGGTAGTTGTGAAGAAATCGTTAAACAACATCTTATTCCTGAAGATGCTAGAATTATGATGACATATGGTGGTGGATCAATTAAAAAAAATGGAATTTATGAAGAAGTATTAAAATATGTTAAACCACTAATAGAATTTGGAGGAATAGAACCAAATCCATCACATGAAACTTGTGTTAAAGCAATTAAACTTGCTAAAGAAAATAATATTAATTTCTTCCTTGCTGTAGGAGGAGGATCAGTTATAGATGCTACTAAATATATTGCACTTGCTATGGAACATACATACTCAAATGATACATATGACATATTAATGAAAGCTGGTACATTTAAATATAATCCTGCTAAAGCAAAAATTGGTGTTGTTTTAACTATTCCAGCTACTGGATCAGAAATGAATCCAGGATTTGTAATTTCACGTCATTCCTCTAATGACAAACGAGCAGCTGAAGATGACAGTTGTTATCCTCTCTTTGCTATTGTTGATCCATGTCATTCATTTACTTTACCAGATAACCAAATTAGAAATGGTTTAATTGATGCATTTGTTCATGTTTATGAACAATATATTGGACATTATCAAAAAAATCCTGTAATTGATGGAGAATGTGAAGCAGTAATGAAAAGTATTATTAAAGTTGCACCAATAACATTAAAAGACCATTACGATTATCAAGCACGAGCTACTTTTTGTTATGCCGCTACAGTAGCTTTAAATTATTCATTAACATGTGGTATTGATCAATGTTGGGGAGCTCATAGAATTGGACATGAAATTACAGCGTATTATGGACTTGCACATGGAGAGACATTAGCAATGGCTATGCCTGGAGTAATGAAATTTCATAAAGAAAAGAATAAACAAAAATTAATTCAAATGGCTGAACAAGTTTTTGGAATTAAAAATGCACAACCAGAAGACGCTATTAAAGCTTCAGAACAATTTTTCAAATCTCTTGGAGCAAAAACAAGATTATCAGAATGGGGATTTGGTAAAGAACATTTTAAAGAAATTTCTGATAAATTTGATTCTAGACCATGTGGAGTTTATAAGGACATTGATACTAAAGGCTGTCTTATTATTTTAGACAACCTTTATTAACTCAATTTAATTCTTTATTAGATATTTTCATTTAGATTTAAGAAAATAAATTAAAGAAAACTCATTTAAAATATATTTACTGTATATAAACCAAGGATAATTAAAAGAATGATATTTCTTACTAAGAAACCTAATAAACAAAGAAAACCTATTCTTTTGTTTATGGTTATTATTAAGTAATTACTTCTTGATAAAATAAATGCAAATATCCAACAAATAGAAAAGATAAATCCAATTCCAACAAGTACATAGAATATTATCTTATATCTTTTTTCTACTTTGTTTTCACTTGGATTCATTAAAGGTACATTGTCCATGTTATAAATGAATCTTTTTTAAAACAAAAAAAAAAAGAACTAAAAACTAAAAATTATAATATTTTTATTGTAATAAATTATTTCATATTTTTTTCTTTTTTATTAAACCCAAAAAAAGAATAATTATTTTTTGTTTTTTTTAATTTTGTGTTATTTGAAAAGAACTTGAAGGAAACTAAAAAGTTATAATACTGATGAGTGAAAGTAATTACGTTTTTAGACGGGTAAAGTTACCAGCAAGGGGGGATAAACTTAGTTCTCCTTTTCAAAAATTTGATACCTCTGTACCAAAGAAGCAATTAACTGTTGTTGGAAAACAGACTGGATTAAATAAAAATATTAAAACAAAAGGTGGTATTACTGCAGCAGATCTTCAAAGTGCAAAATTATCTGCGTTGCCACCAACAAATTATATTGATGAAAAATTTAAAGAGATTTCAGCATTATTTGATATTTCACCAAATGAATCAAATGAATTATCGTATGAAACTAAATGGTTACTTCTTCAAAGACACAGTCCTGATGCTTCTCAAAGTAAATTAAGAAATGCTACGTTTGCAGTTTCTTCTTTAAGATGTGAACCAACACCAACATTGATTGAATCAATTATTGTTTTTTTAAAAAATGAAAAATGGTCATCACAGTTTATTGAAGCAGATGGAGTAGAAGCATTAATTGACGCATTAACTTCTTCAATGAATGGTTCAGAAAAAAAGAATGGAGCTGAAGTATCAAGAAATTGTCTTAGAGCATTAAGAGCTATTGCACCTATAGCAGAAGACAGAGTAGTTAAATCAACAGTATGTGATTTATTAATGAAATGTTTGACAGTTAATGTAGCAGATGAAAGAATTAGAACTGAAGCCACTATGTTATTATGTTTAATTTCTAATAAGAAGAAAGGAAGTGAGGAAGTTTTAGCTGCAATTGATAAGGTTAAAGGTAAAGAAGGCCGATTTAAAATTCTTGTAGAGTTATTTGGAAAGACTGATGATAGTGAATTAAAAGCAACTATTGTAGCTATGTTTTCATATTTAACAAATAATGCTGATGATATTTTTACTCGTATCTCAAGACGAGCAGAATTAACATTAAGTGGGTTTGATGAAAAGTGTAATGGAGAAAAGTCTAAAGCATCACTTGCAATGAGCAAAGATGTTTCTGATATTTTAAACCAAATTGGAATATATGAAAAGTTAAGAGGAGAAGATGATGCTAAAATGAAAGAAAGATTTAAAGATATTCCAATGTTAAGTGTAGAACATACTGATGAAAAACTTAGAGGAGTATTAGAACAAGCAAGAGCAGAAATCTATTATGTTCAGATGTTAAAAGAAATTGAATTTCTTGTTGGAACTGATTACACAAAAAATAAAAATGAAACTATCTTGCAACAAAAATTAGTTGTAGCTACTAGATTTATTAGACAACTTGGTCTTTATTCATATGAAAATGACCAACATAATACCATTGAGTTTAATGAACATTCAATAGATATTAATTCTTTAGTTTCAGGAGCTGCAGATTGTCTTGGAATGGCAAAGTTATTGGAAGAAAACGCTACACTAAAATTAAGTGGAGGAGTAAAGAAGACAAAAATTGATGACGAAGAGAAAGAGAAATTAATTCAACAAAAAATGGAAGAAATGAAAAAACAATCTTCCTTGATTGCTGCAAATGAAGAGAAGGTGACATTAAAATTAAAAGAAGTAGAAGAAAAAGAAAAAAAAATCGCCTTGTTAGAGTCAAGTCAAGCTGCTTTAGACGGATTGAAAATCAAGTATGATGAGCTTAACGTACAACACAATAACACAATGGAAGTCATGAAAATTCTTACTAAAAATCCTAAATTAGTTGATCATTTAAAGGCTGTAGGTGGTGTATTTGCTTTTAGTGAAACTGCAGTTCAAATAGCTGATAAGAGTCAAGAAGAAGTTGTTAACAAAGAAGATTTAGACAGATTAAAGGATGCTGTTCTTAAGTTGTCCCCAAAAGGTGTTGTACCACCTCCTTCTAATACAGCAACTGCACCCCCACCACCACCTCCTGGAGCAAGTTCAGTTCCCCCACCACCACCTCCTCCTGGAGCAAGTTCAGTTCCCCCACCACCACCTCCTCCTGGAGCAAGTTCAGTTCCTCCCCCACCACCTCCTCCTGGAATGCCAGGAATGCCTCCCCCACCACCTCCTCCTGGAATGCCGGGTATGCCTCCCCCACCACCACTCCCTGGAATGCCAGGTATGCCACCTCCTCCTCCTGGTATGCCAGGTATGCCACCTCCACCTCCTGGATTTGGATTTAGACCACCTGGAGCACCAGCACTTAAAGTTCAAACGACATTAAGTAAATTAAAACAACCAAAGAACAAGTTAAAGGCTGTTCAATGGCAAAAAATCCCAGAAAGACAATTAACTAATACAATATTTAGTAAAATGGAAGGGGATGTTGCTGTTAGTGAATGTTTTGATGACTTAGAGGAAATGTTTAAACAAAAAGAAGTTGTAGTAAAAAAAGAAGATACAAGTAAGTCAAATAAAATTCAATACGTTGGTATATTTGATGGAAAAAAATCACAAAACATTAATATTATGTTGAACAAATTTAAAGGAGTGTCTGTGGAAACCATAATTGATAACATCAATGCACTAGACATGACTCTATTTGATGAAGTTTCTTTAATAGAAGGTCTCAAAAATGCACTTCCAGTTGCGTCATCAGACAAAGATGAGCCTGGGCTCTTAAAAGATTATTATGAACACCCTGAAAAGTATGTTGGAAAACAATTAGATCCGTCTGAAATATTCTCATATAAATTAAGTCAATGTTCTAATGCAGAGAAGAAATTAGATGTTATGATGAAATTGCTTCAATTCCCAAGTAAATTTGATGACTGTTCTCGAAACGTAAAAACATTATTAACCGCATCAACACAATTATGTGAAAGTAAGTCATTCTTAAAATTACTTGAAGTAATTTTAATTATTGGTAATTATATGAATAAAGCAAGTAAAAAGCCAATTACTTGTGGTTTTAAAATGAGTGTTTTAGGGAAGTTAGCAGATACAAAGTCTAATGACAACCAAAAGAATTTAGTTTATTTCTTATGTAAATATATCCATGAGAAGCATCCAGATTTATCTCATTGGATGGAGGAAGTTGAAGCTGTTGTACCAGCAGTACGTGTTATGGGAAGTGAAGTTGAGTCAACATTTGCCGAATTAAAGAAAACAGTTGCAGGATTTGATTCAACTATTGCTCAATTACAAAAAACACCAGGAAACGAAGGATTTGTTGCAGAATTATCACAACTTAATTCAGGGTATTCGACTAATATGTTAGTCCTTGAAAATGATAAAAAGAAATATGATGTTCAATATTCAAAAGTGTGCCAATTATATGGTGAAGATACAAGTAAATTGCCTAAAAGTGAAGATTTCTTTAAGAATTTTAAAGACTTTTATGAAAGTTATGAAAAAGCAGAGCAAATGTACCAAGATGATAAAGCAAAAGCTGAGAAAGAAGCAAAGAAAGAAGCAGAAAAGAAAAGAAAAATGGAAGAACAAGAAAGAAAAGCCAAAGAACGTGAGGCAAAGAAAAAACAACAAGAGGCTATGGTTGAAGGTATGGCAGAAGATATGATTAAACCAATAAAGAAGGTTAAGAAAGTAAAAAAATCTAGAAAAGAAACTATGGAAGTTGATTTTGAAAAAGATTTGGCTGAAGAACTTAAGTTAGCTCAAGACAAACCTGAAGATGAACCTGTTAAGAAAGTTAGAAAAATTGTTAAACGTAAAGTTCATAAGAAAGCTACTGTGGCTACCGAAGAAAATTGAGCTAATTGAGTCATTTATTACTATAAACTTATTGTTATTTCATGAAAATTTACATGTCTTTTTCATTTGTTTTCAAATTATTTAAATAACTAATTAGTTTATTAGATTCATTTCAAATAAATTGGTTTTCATTGACTTTCTTATTATTATTACAACAATACTGCACAAAAGAAATTTCTGTCATTAAGTGAAGGCATCAAGTTTATGTTTCATTAATCTGTCTTACATTAGAAAACTTAAACATAAAAAAAGATAATAAATAAATATCACTTTAATCTAAAAACTAATATGACTTAGATTTTAACATACCTTATTTAATAACAAACAATTGTTTAATTGTTTAATTGTTTATTAATTTATTATTTTATTTGAAGAAAACACTTAGAGTAAGTTTTGTTTAATTCGTTATTAATGTAGAAGTAATAAAGAATTATTGAGTTTAAAAGTGATAAAACAATTCTTATAGTTAGACATGGTAGTAAAATAATGTTTTTTTTTAATTAATGTGTCTTAAGAATAAAGAAAATTCATCTTTTTATAACAAAGAGAGGTATTAAACTTATTAAGTACACCAAAGAATTTATCTCAATAATACAGAAGATATGAACTAATTTTTAACAAGGAATTTCTAAGAAATAAATTTTATTTGTAGATAGGAAAAGTCAACAAAAATAATCTTTTAAAATATCTCAAAAATGGCATTCAAACAAAGCAAATCATCATATAGGATTTTTATTTTGTGTTTTTTTAGTTTAGAGATAATAATATATTTGGAATAGAGAAAGATATAAATAGTATAAGTAAAAGATATGAAAGAGAAGGAAAAATAGAATAAAATGAATGGAGAAAATTAGAATGAGTTTTCTAAAAAAAGAGACTAAATGTACTGAATGGATATTTAATATCAAATGATAAAAAGAACTAATAGATAATATTTAAAAACATACTGAAAAATAACTGAAATGTAAAATTATAACACCAAATAAAAATAGGAATCAAAACAAAAAGTATGCTCAAATGGAACTAAGGAAACTAAGAAATTTGATTTAATGACCGCCGAGGTTAAAGTAATTGTTATTGGAGACACAAACGTTGGTAAAACTTGTTTATTGTTAACATATACAACAAATAGTTTTCCTGATTCTTATGTTCCAACTGTATTTGACAATTACACTGCTCCAATTTCGGTGGAAGGAAAAGCCATTCAAATGAACCTTTGGGATACTTCTGGTTCTGATGACCTTGATGAGATGAGACCTTTAAGTTATACTGATACTGATTGTTTTATGATTTGTTTTTCTATTGCAGAGGAGGAATCATTTGAACGTATCAAAACTAAATGGGTTCCAGAAATTAGAGAACATTGTCAAAATGATGACCCACGTATCATATTAGTAGGAACAAAATGTGATATACGTGATAGTCAAAAATTAATTGATACATTGAAAAAACAAGGAAAAGACCTTGTTAAAAAAGAGTCTATTGAAATTATGGCAAATGAAATTGGTGCAAAAGGATTTGCAGAATGTTCAGCAGCAAATCAAGTTTGTTTTTATTATGAATTTCTCATTGAAGAAATAAATCAGTTTTAATAAAATGAATAGAATGGATTAAATGAAGTGTTTGAAATGGCGGCAAAAGTGGCACTTGGAATGGAAGATGAAACAGGGGATAAGAAAGATAAAAAAGACAAGAAAGACAAAAAAGATAAAGAAAAAAGAAAGCATAATGGTAGTATCTTTAAGAAGATATTTGGAAAATAATTTGTTTTCTTTTTTATCATATCATTAACTCTCTCTTTTTGTTTAATTTCTTTTATTAATTTTGATGCATTTATTGAATCAGTTAGTTTCTTCTTATTTTGTAATAAAATATTCTTTTTTATATTCAATAAATCTTTCTTTCATTATCGTCTGATTTAATAAACATATTTATTTTAAATACTAGTTGATTTTAGTTTATTTATCTTCTTGAGAAATAAACTTTTAACTAAGTTTAACTTCACAACAATTAGAGAAATTAAATCCTTTTTTATGGAGAATTTAAAATTTTTACAAGTATCTTTTATCCTTTGTATTAGACTTTTTAGGAAAAAATGTTATTATTATACAACTTTGAGCATCTACACAAAATATTAAAAATTATTATTATACCCTTTTATTAAACGTTAATAATTCTTTACTTCTTAATAAATAAGAAGATGTTTTTGTTTCGTTTTATGAAAATAACTGGTATGAAGAAAAGAGACAAACAAATTAGAAAAGTATCAACATATCTCCTTTCATATAATAGAAATATTGAAGATGTGGATTTTGTATTAAGAAATAAATTGTTAATGAATTGAGTGTTTTCAATGAGACAATATAAGAATGAGATATTAAAAATATATTTCAAATATTGTCTATTAACAAAAAATATAAATAATCAAAAAAGAGTTATTTTTTAATATTTCTTATTTTGTTGAGACTGGTGTCATTGTTAAATTAAATTAAAGTTAAAAAAATACACAAATAAAATAATACATAAAAATAATAATAAATAAAGGAGTAATGTAAGTAGAAATAAATAATATGTTAAACATAGAAACCAAATAACATCGCAATAAACAATGAAAGAATTAATATTGAAATTATCTTTGTATTGAAATAAAATGTTATAAAGAATAATAAATAATAAAATTATGAAAGAATAAACCAAATAATACAGGATTAGGTATTGGAATAGATTTAGGTACAACATATTCATGTGTTGGTATTTGGCAAAATGATCGAGTAGAAATTATAGCAAATGACCAAGGAAATAGAACGACACCATCATATGTTGCATTTACTGATACAGAAAGACTTATTGGAGATGCAGCAAAGAATCAAATTGGAATGAATGTTAAAAATACGGTATTTGATGCAAAACGAATGATAGGAAGAAGATTTAGCGATCCAACTATTCAAAATGATACGAAACATTGGTCATTTGAAGTAGTTGATGATGGACATGATAAACCACTAATTGAAGTAGAATATAAAGGAGAAGTTAAAAGATTTACACCAGAAGAAATTTCATCAATGGTATTAAGTAAAATGAAAGAAACGGCAGAAACATTTGTTGGAAAAGAAATAAAGAATGCAGTTATTACATGTCCAGCATATTTCAATGATTCTCAAAGACAAGCTACTAAAGATGCAGGAACAATTGCAGGAATGAATGTGATGAGAATTATTAATGAACCTACGGCAGCAGCTATTGCATATGGACTTGATAAAAAAAGTTCAGGAGAGAAGAAAGTATTGATATTTGATCTTGGAGGAGGAACATTTGATGTATCAGTTCTTGCAATTGAAGAAGGAGTGTTTGAAGTTAAAGCAACTAATGGAGATACACATCTTGGAGGAGAAGATTTTGATAATCGACTTGTTAAATATTTTATTGGTGAGTTTGAAAGAAAATATAAGAAAGATATTAGTGGGAATGCACGAGCTGTTAGAAGATTAAGAACGGCATGTGAAAGAGCAAAAAGAACATTATCAAGTGCAAGTGTTGCTAATATTGAAGTTGATCAATTATATGAAGGAATTGATTTTTATACATCTATTACACGAGCTAGATTTGAAGAAATCAACATTGATTTATTTAAATCAACTATTGGACCAGTTTCAAGAGTATTAGAAGATGCTAAAATAGATAAAAGTAGTATTGATGAAGTAGTATTGATAGGAGGAAGTACAAGAATTCCAAAAGTCGTTGAGATATTAAAAGAATTTTTCAATGGGAAAGAACCAAATAAAAGTATTAATCCAGATGAAGCAGTTGCGTATGGAGCAGCAGTACAAGCAGCTATATTAACAGGAACCGGAGGGAAAGCAACAGAAGATGTGTTATTACTTGATGTTGCACCACTTACACTTGGAATAGAAACAGCAGGAGGAGTTATGACAGCATTAATTCCTAGAAATTCAACAATTCCAGCAAAGAAATCCGAAATATTTTCTACATATGCAGATAATCAAGCAGAAGTATTAATTCAAGTATTTGAAGGAGAAGCATCAATGACAAAACATTGTAATTTACTTGGAAGATTTGAGTTAACAGGAATAGCACCAGCACCACGAGGAGTACCAAAAATCGAAGTTACATTTGACATTGATGCAAATGGAATATTAAATGTAACAGCAGAAGATAAAAGTAGTGGAAAGAAGAATAAAATTACTATTACAAATGACAAAGGAAGATTAAGTAAAGAAGATATTGATAAAATGATAAGAGAAGCAGAGAAATATAAAGCAGAAGATGAAGAGAATAAGGCACGAATTGAAGCAAAGAATCAAATAGAAAATATGTGTTATTCAATGAAGAATAGTATTAAAGAAATGGGAGATAAAATAAGTGAAGAAGATAAGAAGAAAGCAGAAGAAATAATAGAAAAGAATTTAAAATGGGTTGATAACAATCAAAATGGAAGTAAAGAAGAATATGAGAAGAAAAAGGAAGAAGTTGAAAAAGAAATTGGAGAGATTTATTCAAAAATAACTCAAGGAGGAAGAGGATTTACAGGAACTAGAAACACGGAAAAAGAAAATAAAGGACCAAGGATTGAAGAAGTTGATTAAATAAAGAAGAAAAGAATATGTACAAATAATAAGAAAAGTAATTAATTAAAATTATTTGGTTAATAAATAAAATAATAAAAAATATAATAAAGAATAATAAAATAAAAGTATTTTAATTAAAATAATTTGTTAAATTCATTAATATTCATTTGTTAAATTTTCTTTTATAACAATAATGAATATTCAAATTGTTATGTTAACTTAATGAATCATCAAATGAATAGAATATATATGAATATGATATAAATTAATGTAATAATAATGTAATTGTAATACATTTTATTTTATTTAAATGTATTAATAAAATCATTCATTAATTGAAAATAGTAATTTACAATAGTATAAATAGAACAAATGACTAATTAAGATATTCTTAACTTATATAAATACAGAAGTGCCTAAAACACACTAATAACTTTTTAATATTTTAATTAAAAAGATGTATAATTCAAGTAAATACAAAAGAATAACAGGCATTATTCTCTCGTTATCATTCAATTACATCAACATTCTAAACCATCAACAAAATTGAACCACTTGTTCATCTCAATTTCATCAATGTATAGAGAATTAATTAAATAATGAAGTTATGTCCTTTCTTCTTTTAGTGGTATGTTGAAAAATTAACATAATTTGTTTAGACAATAAACTTCAATGTGCTTTTTATACTATTCCTTTTAAAAGATTGACTATTTCCCACATCCTATAGTTTTTAAGTATTATCAACAATAAGTGATGTAGTTAATTAAATTAGATATAATATTCTTTAGACATTCCTCAGAAATATGAAGTTGTTTTTTTTACTAAACAAAGAATAATTTCAATGACTATTGGGAGTTTTGATTATTCAACCCAAAAATCGTTTAGATAACATTCAATAATCAAATCATTAAAAGAGCCATGACATAAAAGAAAAAATAAAAAGTAAACAGAAAATACTAATAAACGTTGGCAGTATTACAAAATGTGATGTTTTAACAATTCTGTCTATTGTTAGAATAAGAATGAATAAGAGTTAATTTATAAAGTAAAAGACAAATCTTTACGAAATGATTATTTGAGTAGATATTAAAACACTTTTTAAGTATAAAAATTCACACAAACTCAATAAACAAAATGTCTATGATAAATTTCCTTTCAAATTAAGATAGTTTAAAACAAGTGTGTTTATTTTGTCAATAACTCAATAACAATATCTTTGCTTTACCTTTTCATTAAAGAATAATACAACAAGGGTTTATATGAACAAACGATAAATTGATAAATTGAAAATTGAACAAATTTAATAAATATATTCAATTCTTAAGCAAATAAATGAATTGGACATTCATCCATTTTTATAACTGCACAACGTAATAAGACTTTAAGCTAGTTTTTTTTTTAATTAATGAGTTAATGAATGAGTTAAGTTAGTTGGAGTATCGTTAAATAACTATAAATAAAATTATTATTATTGGTTTGAAATAAAAAGAACCAATGTTATTCTATAAAATGATTAACACGTTAAACTAATTTAACTAACAACTACATTTACAAGACTTTTCTATTCATAAATTTGTTTTCGTTAATCATTTGACTTGATTCGCTTATTTTTAGATTTTTCATAGGGAAAGATACTTTTAAGAGTAGCATGAATTGTTTATTTATTAACAACTTCTTACAAGACTATCATTATTTGTAAGTTTTAGAATAATTTTGAATATGACGATGGTTAACTATTTAATTTTAATTACTAATATCTTCCATTCAAGTTTTGATGATAACATTTATTCACACACAAGAAATGTTACTTGACTTAAAGAAGTTTGAATCATTTAAAGTTGTGTTGTAGTGAAAATGAAAGTAATAAAATTGGTTTAATGGTAAAAAATAAAAACGAAATAATGTTAATTATAAAAATAATGAAACAAAAGTTGTTTAGAAGAGAAGAAGGGATTTGTTGTTGTTTTTTTTATCATTTTTAGCTTCAAAGAAAAAGGTCAATGTTTAAGCAAGTGTCGTCATAAAAAAAAAAGTTCCAATCATAAAAACTAAAAAAAACTCCTTTCAAACCAAACAGTCATGAAGTTTATTTAAGTTTTAGAAGTGGAATAAAAACATCATAACAATAAAACAATTGTAAAAGTATAATTTTTTTTAAAAGGAAAAAAAAAGATAGAAAAAGTTGAACTATTAATAATTCAATGATTTAGAAAGAAGATTATAGAAGAAAAATTGATTAAATAATTAATATTTACTATTCAGTTTTAATTTCATTCAAAAAATCATTCAATAAATTCACACGTCAATACGATGTGGCGCTTATTGTAAACACGTCTGTTATTGGTACTTGAAAAAATGAAGATTCAAAAATCAATCATACAGAAATGGAGACAGAAAGCCATAGTGCCTTTCATTCAGTTCGTCTTATGTGTGACTCTGATGGACAACTTCTCTTACGTCCAATTAATTCTGAGCCAAATTCTGTAGATAATGAAGTTAATCAAAAGAATATTAAAAAAGAATTAACTTCAAGTAAGTCTAAACAAAATAAAAGACAAGAAACATACCAAGAAGAAATGCTTAATGCTAAGAGGAAGTCAAAGAATAGAGATGCAGCTCAACAGTCATTTTTAATAGGGTTACTTGCAACATTTGGATATGAGTTAAAAATTAATAAGTTATACAAAAAAGGAAAAACAACAAGTCAATTATTCACTATTAATTCAATTAAAAAAGAAGGAACTTTAGTCTATAAAAGTTATGATGTTGTTCCAGAAGTTGAAGACTTACGAGATAAACGAAGATGTTTAGATGCAGTAACTAATTCTAAATTACTTGACTTAGCTTTAAGTCATCCAGAAGTGGTTGCTGTTGAGAAGAAATGTAGAATATCAAAATATGGACATGCTATTGGAATGAGAAGAATTAAGACATTATCATTAAATGGTTGTAGTTTAAGAATTTTAGACATAACTAAATTAGGTTCTCAAATTCATAATATGATTCTTGAGCATATGGGAGAAAAAGATTGTCTTGTTAATGCCCAATCATATGACATTACTTCTGTTATTCAAAATTATGTATCTCATAGAATTAAAGAAGAAAGTGATGATAGTGATACTGTCGATGATTTGTTGTAAATTAAATATGTTATGATTTGTTCATTACTTTTTTTCCTTTTGTTTTTTTTTGAATAAACATAAAAAAATATTAATTGTTCATTTTAATTAAAACAAAAGTCCATCATCGTCGATTGGAGATTCAATATCATTAACTTGTTGATAATCAAGATTATTTTCTATTTCAAGAGGACTAACATCAATTCCAAGAGCATTACATGATTCAATAATATGTTTTTGAATTTCATCAATTTCTTTTTCTAAATCTCTTCCTTTTCTTTCAAGTGCAGTAGCTTCCATTTCTAATTCTCTTTTTCTTGTTTGAATAAAATCATTTAATTTTTTAATTTCATCTTCTAATTCTTTTATTTTAGTTTCTCCATTTGTGTTGATTGTTTCTATTTCTTCAATCTTCTTTAATAATTCATCTCTCTCATTTTTAAGCTTTTGGTTCTCTTGTTTTTTTTGTTCTAATGATGCTTTGGTTTCTTTTACTTTTTTTTTAACTTCAACAAGTTCAACTTCTTTAGCATCTTGTTCTAATTTCTTCTTATTAATATCGTCTAACGTATAATTTTTAATTAACTTAATTGTATTTTGCTGCTCTTGTTGTTGTTTGGATAATTCCTCACATTTTATTTGTTTTTCATTAACTTCCTTTTTCATTTTCAAAAGTTGTTCTTCTTTTGTTTTAATTTCCTCTTTAATCTTTTCTGTTTTCTTTTCTTCTATTTGGAATGAATTTAATTCTTTTTCTTTGTCTTCAACTTGTTTTATTGTCATAAGAGGAACTCTTTTTTGAGCTATTTCTTCTGAAACAAGTAATCCATCAAGTTGTTTTAATGATTGAATCATTTCATCTCGTTTCGTGATATATTTTTCTTCCAACGGATCATGAAGTTTTTTCATTGCTTGAACAATCAATTGAATCATTTCATCTTCTTTTTTATCATTAATAAGATCAACTACTTTCATTTTATAGATAAATGGTTCTTGTTTGTTCATTGTTGTTATAATACAAATAACTATTTTCCAGTTTTTTTTTTTGAATAAAACAAAATTCAATAACATTTTTTCATTATACATTGTTATTTTCTAAAGAAACAAAAATGAAAGAAAATAATAAAAGAATCTATTACACTCTTTATGGGAATAATGGAGTCCAATCAAATTCTTCTCCTACAAATGTAATTTGGAAATATTTTAATTCAGAACCTGGTTTATATGGACAATAATATTTGAAATGAAGAGTTCCAGTAGCTCCAACACTAGTTGCTTTAACAAGGAAATAAAATTCTACATTTTCTTCAGCTGGGTCGGCTGGATTATTTTTCTTTAAGTTAGAAACTTCAATACCAGGAGCAGTATTTAATACTTCCCAAAGATATCCAGCTCTATCAGTATCAATAAATGAAAGCTTTACATTAGTAATTACATAGCATGGAACAGTTTGATTTGCATTATCTACATTATATTCAGCAGCAATATAATAACTAAGAATAAGAAGAATTTCTTCATATGTATATTCAGTTTTCTTTGGATGAAGTCTCTCTGCAATTTTTTCATAATTATTACTTAATATAAGAGTTTTTTCAACTTTCTCTTCAATACTTTTTTGTGAGACTTGTACTTCTTTAGAGACTTCAATAGCATTAGAACATACAAGGAATGCAATCAAAATAACACCCTTAAACATGAGATGGATTTAACTTATTAATTCTATGTTTATATAGTATCTCATGACATGGAGGGGGTAAAAACTCATTTATAATATTATTGAAAAACGATAACTACAATTACTTAATCTGTAATTTTATTTTCTTTCAAACCTTTTTTTGATTTTATAGATCTATTTAGTTTTTTTGTGACGGTTTCTTATTTGTTTTTTTTTTAATTCCATTTATCGTAGTTTTTCTACAAACCATTTCTTGAGTCATAGTTTTATCAAATAAACTTATTTTTTATAATTAGCATTACATATAAACATTCTTTTGAAAATACTAAGCAATAAATAAACAAAAGAAACAAATTAAAAAGGAAAGAATTGATATAATTAATACTAAAATGTGGATTTTCCAAAATTTATTTAACATTAAAATATTCCACATCATTTTACATTCTAGAAAAAGAATCAATAAGAGGAATTTTATTTTTGTTTTGGGTTTTGTTTTCAAATGCTATTTGGATTATATTTCTTCTAAAGATAAAGATAACACATGTTTCTGTGATAGTAAGATAAATTAAATACCTCAATTCTTTTAATAATACAATTTGTTATAAACACAAAAGAAAAAGAAGAATTTCTGGAAGTATTTTAAAAGAAAAAAAAAACATCATAAAATGAAATAAATATTTTATTAAATTCAAAATGATTTTTTTTTTCAATCAACAATGTATTTCTTTGATGGTTTGGGTTTTATACCTTCAGGAACATTTCTTTTAATACCTGAATGAATATTGTTTTTTGAATTATCAGTTGATAATGAAAGAGGAAGAGAAGTAGAAGAAGGACGTGGTTGTTTTAATAAAAGTTCTCTTTCTTTCTTTTTCATGAATGATCGAATAGTTTCTCCATATTGATATTTTACAAATATTAGTCTAATATCTTCTTTTTCTAATATTGTTGCTTTTAATCTGTCACTTTCATTTTTAACTATAACAAATAATTGTCTTCCAATTGCATCATCATAAAATCTATAACGAACTACATGTTCTTCTTTAAAACGATTTATTTCTTTTTTCCATAAATCAATTTGTTTTTGAATTGTTCTTGGTAAATTTGGTTGCAAGAAATTAATTAACATTTCACTAGTAATTCCTTTTGCAAATGCCTCTGTTACTGATTGATGATTAAGTTTTCCAACCCATAAATTAGCTAATTGGAAATTCTTTCTAATAAATAGTCTATATAAATCAACTTGAAACTGACTCTCTGTATAAATATAAACAGAATAATTAATTTCAGTTATTGTTTTAGGCTTTTTTACAAGGTCACTTGGAATATTAGCATTTGATCGAAGAAGAGACATTAATGGAGTAATTGCCATAACATTTTGCTCTTTATAATATACAATAATACCAAGGTCATTAAATAATTGAAGTGGGTCTGGTCCATATACTTTTTTAAAATGATCGCAGTTATAAATAATATGTTCTTTTAAATATGTCATTTCAAAAACATCATTAATAAATGGTGATATTCTTCTTTGAATAAGTCCAATAATACTAAGCATAATAACCCAAAGTTGTGTTTTTGTTTCTTGAAATAAGAATTGATATCCTTTTCGAGTTATTTGTCTTGTTTCTTCTTTAACTAATTCTAAGTCTTTAAATATTCTTAATGGATTATTTGAAATATTTGGTTGACTATTAAATTGAAGTAATTTATTCATAAAATATTCAAATGTTTTAATACAATTTTCTTTTAAACATTTCTCTTGAATTATTTTTGATACTTTTTCGTTAACTTCTTTAATTTTATATGCTGGCTCCATTGACCCCGTAAGATTCATTTTAAAATTACTTTGAAAGTCATTGTTGAGTTTTATATACAAAATTCCATCTTCTTCTTCTTTATCAATAATATGAATGCTATGGATTGTATTAATCACTTCATCCATTGTTTCATTTGGTATTTTAAATTGATTGTACATTTCATTTATGCTGATTCTTTCCGTTAGAAAAATAATTCTTAATAACAAACTTTGACACATTCCAGGTAATAATCGAAATATTTCTGAACATGTCCACTTCGATTTATATGCTGATTTCATGGCTATTTCTGGTAAAACTTGAAAATATTTAATAATGTCTTTTTCTATTATATTATTTTCCATTAAATTTTTAAGTTTTTTTATTTATTTTTTTTTTAATTATGAATGTTGTTATAAAATGTTAGGATGTCCTGTAATGAAGAAGAACCAAATATCAAAACATGATTATGTTTGTAAACAAATATTTAAACACTTATTAATTACACATTTTAATGAATTTGATGCAATTGATTTTAATAATCCTCCAAAATGTATTAATAATGATAAAATGATAATAACTTACAATATTGATTTATTGGTTAGTGACCATTCTTTCCATGCTAGAAGACCAGATATATATTATCAAAATATGAAAGAAAATAAATGATATATTATAGATGTTGCTATATGTCAAGATAATAATTTAGAAATAAAATATATTCATAAAATAAATAAATACAAAGAATTACAAGAGAAAATAAGAAACAATAGAGAAATAATATATGTAGAAATAATACCTGTTATATTATCAATAAATGGATTAATACATAAAGAATCAGCAAGAAGATTAAAAACACTAAAATTACAATTACACTTCCCCAAAATCCTACGAACAATAATAATAAAAAATATGAAAGACTTAATGTTTTATACAGGAAATTCTGGCAGCACATTAGAAGAAGAACAATCTAATGCGAGCATGCTAGAAATGAACTCTATTACACCAATAGAGCATATTGAAGAAACTGAAATAATCACTTCTCAGTATGAAGAAAATCCAATTGAGGATATATCTATTAATTGACCTTTTTTTTTTTTTTTTTTTTTTTTTTTTTTTTTATGAATGTTGTTATAAAACAATTGCATCTATTAATCATATACTGTTAGGATGTAATGAAAAAGAATCAAATATTAAAACATGACTATGTGTGTAAACAAATATATAAACAATTATTCATTACCTAATTTAATGAATTTAATGCAATTGATTTTAATAATCCTCCAAAATGTATTAATATTGATGAAATGATTATAACTTATAATATTGATTTATTGGTTAATGACAATTCATTCAATGCTAGAAGACATGATATATATTATCAAAAGATGAAAGAGAAGAAATGATATATTAATATTATAGATGTTGCTATATGTCAAGATAAGAATATAGAATTAAATTATATTCACAAAATAAATACAAAGAATTACAAGAGAAATTAAGAAACAATAGAGATTTAATATATGTAGAAATAATACCTGTAATATTATCAATAAATGGATTAATACAAAATGAATCTGTAAGAAGATTAAAATCAATAAAATTTCATTTAGACTTCACCAATATAATACATAGCAATACTATTCAAAAATATGAAGGATTTAATGTTTTACGCATTCAATTCTGATAATAGAATAGAATCAACTAATTCTCATATAATACAAACATAGAATAGAAATAAAACATAATGAAGAAACTGAAATAAACACTTTTTAATATTCATAACAACAAATGAAGATATATTTATTATTTTTTAACTTTTTTGATGTTTAAAAAAGCAAACTTATTAACAAAGAGAGTTTATACTATAAAAAAGAAATGTTAAAATTTCTTCAGTTTATTATTATTGAAGTAATATGAAAGTATATATAAAATCTTGAAATTTTTCAAAAATAAAAAACAATACAACACCCACCATAAAAATCTCAAAACTCCTTTACAGTCATAATAATAAAAACTATAAACTCTTTGTCATGATCTTTGTCAATGAAACACTTCTTTTCATTATTTATTTAGTTAAACTAAAAGTTCATTTGTAGAAAGTTTTATTCTCGATAAAAAATATCTATTTAATTGTGTTTCTTTGAAGCTAAGTCGTAAATAACTATTTTTCAAACTCACAAGATTCTCTTGTTTTTCGCTTTGGGTATTAACAAATGAAGTTACTTTTTCAATTTCATCCAATGCTTTTTTTACGTCTTCATAATCTACATCACTTGGTCGTAAATGTTTTAATAAATCCTTCAATAACAGTCTATACCTTGGTAATCGTTGGATTGGTGTGATTAGAAGGGAGAGTAAATCAAATCCTTGGAGGTGTTCTGGTGCTTGTTTCATTTGAAGTTTGTAGAATGTCCCAAAGGGATGTGGTACTTTCATTGAACTTACTAGCTGATTAATCTGAGGATATATTTGACAGTAGTCACTATAAACTCTCAACAATGGAGTAAAAGTCAATACAATACGACCAAATCGAGAATTTTGTGTATAAACTGATAGTTTTTCTCTCAAATTTTCTAATAGAGCTGTATTTACACCATAAATAACTGAAACTCCTCCAAATATTAATTTCATTTGTTCAGGAGTTAAAAGTGGTTTTTCTTGTTTTATCAAAGGTTGGTGGATTAAGTTTTCTACAACACCTAACTGTTCACAGTATGTGCTTTCTGTTGTAATGAATTCTTTCACTACATTGCCACAATAGAGATATCGTTTTTCTTCTTTAGAATAAAGCATTGAACGAACTGCTTTTTGAATAACACAAGCTGCTGTATTTTCTATAATTTTATTTGAAATTTTGTTGATACGTTCTATCCAAACAAGGTCAAGTCTCATTTTTTTAGAATATTTCTCATAGAATTGTTTGTCAATATGAAAAAATTGGTTTGCCTCTATTTCATTTAAATAACACCGATATGCTAATCCATATTCTCCCATCTTTTGTAATTGGTCAAGTAACATCTTTTTTGTCCATTTACGAGCATCAAGGAATAAGAGAA